CAACTACTGAGCCATGCTGGCTGGGTCGAGGATATTTTTTTATTGATTTTAGAGAGAGGAAGTGAGAGGGAGAAAGAAACATTGATGTCAGAGAGAAACATCAATCAGTTGCCTCCTGTAAGTGCCCAACCAGAAATTGAACCTGCAACCTACATATGTGCCCTGACTGAATTGAATCTGCAGCCTTTTGGTGCACAGGATGACGCTTCAACCATTGAACCACCCGGCCAGGCAGGACAGCATTGTCAAATCAAACTGGATCTTTGACATGGGTCTTGGCACTGATTTTTTTTTATTTGACACCAAAAGCAAAGGCAACAAAAGCAAAAATAAACAGGTGGGACTACAAACTAAAGGGTTTCTGCATAGCACAGGAAACCATCAACAAAATGAAAAGGCAACCTACTAAACGAGAAAATATTTGTAAATCATATATCTGATAAGGGGTAATATGCAAAACATAACACAATTCAATAGCAACTACAACAAATAATCCAATTAAAAAGGGCAGAGGATTTCAGTCGACATTTTCCCAAAAAAGACCTAAAGATAGAAAACAGGTACATAAAAAGGTGTTCAACATTACTACTTATCAGGCTCTCTGCCACGTGAGGGCACAGGGAGAAGACAGCTGTCTATGAGACAGGAAACAGGCTCTCACCACACACTGAATCTGCCAGCACCTTGATCTTGGACTGCCCAGCCTCCAGAACTGTGAGACATAACTGTTTGTCATGTATAAGCCAAAACCCCCCCCCAAAACATTACTACTTATCAGAGAAATGCAAATCAAAACCATAATTAGTCCTGACCGGTTTTGCTCAGTGGTTAGAATTGACCCAAGTACCAACGGTACCAACGGTACTGGTTCAGTTCCCAGTCAAGGGCACATACCTTGGTTGCAGGTGTGAGCCCCAGTCCTGGTCATGGTGTATGTGGGAGGCAACCAGTCGATGTGTCCCTCACATTGATGTTTCTGTCTCTTTCTCTAAAGATCAATGGAAAAAATATCCTTGAGTGAGGATTAAAAAACAACAACAAAAACACACAATAAGATATCACATCACACCTGTTAGAATGGCTCTTATAAAAAAGACAAGAAGTACTGCCCAGCTGGTATAGCTCAGCAGTTGAGTGTCGACCTATGAACCAGGAGGTCACGGTTCGATTTCCCGTCAGGGCACATGCCCGGTGCAGGCTTGATCCCCAGTGGAGGATGTGCAGGAGGCAGCCAATCAATGATTCTCTCTAATCATTGATGTTTCTATCTCTCTCTCCCTCTCCCTTCCTCTCTGAAATTAATTTAAAAAATTTATATATATATATGTATATATATATATGTGTGTGTGTGTATGTGTATGTATATATATATATATAAAGAAGTGAAGTATTGGCAAGGATATGGAGAAAAGGAATCCCTTGTGCAGTGTTGGTGGGATGTAAATTGGTGCAACCATTATGGAAAACAGTATGGAGATTCATTAAAAAATTAAAAATAGAGCCCTAACTGGTTTGGCTCAGTGGATAGAGCGTCGGCCTGCGGACTGAAGGGTCCCAGGTTCGATTCCGGTCAAGGGCATGTACCTTGGTTGCGGGCACATCCCCAGTGGGAGGTGTGCAGTAGGCAGCTGATCCATGTTTCTCTCTCATTGCTGTTTCTAACTCTCTACCCCTCCCCCTTCCTCTCTGTAAAAAATCAATAAAATATTTTTAAAAAATTAAAAATAGAACTACTGTACAACCCAGCAATTCTACTTCTGGGTATTTAGCCAAAGGAAATGAAAATACTAACTCAAGAAGATATCTGCATCCCCATGTTTATTGCGCATTATTTACAATAGCCAAGATATAGAAGCAGTCTAAATGTCCATTGATGGATGAATGGATAAAGTGAGCTAAATGTCCATTGGTGAATGAATGGATAAAGACACACACACACACCACACACACACATGCACACACATATACACACATACACACACAGAGATATATACATACAATGAAATATTATTCAACCATAAAAAAGGAAATTCTGCCATTTGTGAACACATGGATGGACCTTAAGGGCATTATGCTAAGTAAAATAAGTCAGGGAAAGACAAATACTGTATGACCTCACTTATATGTGGAATCTAAAAATCAAACCAAAAAAATTAAACTCAGATAATTGAGCACAGGTTGGTGGTTTCCAGAAGGAGGGGGATGAAGTATATGAAGGGAGTCAAAAGGTACAAACCTGTTATAAAGTAAATAGGTCATGGAGATATAATGTACAGCATGGTGACCACCGTTAATAATACTGCATTACTCATTTGAAGGTTGCTAAGAGAATAGATCTTAAAAGTTCCTATAATAAGAAAAACATTTTGTAACTATGTGTGGTGATGGATATTAACTAGACCTGTTGTGGTGATCGTTTCACAATATATAAACATATTAAATCATTATGTTATACAACTGAAATTAATATAATGTTATATGTCAATTATATCTCAATAAAAGAAAACAAACTGGAGCATCTCTCACTTCAAAGGCTTCAATGAGGAGGTTGGTGGTTGATAAGGGAAGAGTATCACCTGACTTCCCTAAGATAAGGCCTGTGAGACCAAAACTTGGTCTCTCTTAAAGTTAGGCTATCCTTTCCCACTAGCTCATTGGAGAATCATTATTAGCCATTTATTTTTACTTATTTTTTAAGAAATACAGTGGGGCCTTGACTTACGAGTGTCCCGACTAACGAGTTTTTTGAGATACCAGCTGTCTCTCGGCCGATTTTTTGCATTGAGTTGATAGAGTAATTTGAGTTAATGAGTTCCTTAACGAGCTCGGTCTCGGAACGAATTAAACTCGTAAGTCAAGGCCCCACTGTATATATTTTTATTGATTTCAGAGAGGAAGGGAGAGGGAGAGAGAGAGAGAAACATCAGTGACGAGAGAGAATCATTGATTGGCTGCCTCCTGCACGCCCCCTACTGGGGATCAATCCTGCAACCCAGGTCCCTTGACCAGAATCGAACCTGGGTCCCTTTAGTCCACAGGCTGACACTCTAATCACTGAGCAAACCGGCTAGCCAAGCATGCTTGACATGCTTGGGCTAGGGCATTATTAGTAATTTATTTATGTACATTATCATTTATGTCTCATATATAATTATGTGTTTATAATTAAGTATGCTGGTGATTGGTAATTATATTTGATTTCATTTCTAGACCTTGTTTTTATATGCTCAGTCTTTATAGTTTGTTGTTCTTTTAACTCCAAGTAACTCCAACAGAGAAAGCATGGCTATAAACCCTCTCCCTTCAGTAGCCTAGCTCATGCATTTAATTGGGATATTTCCCCCTAGCAGGTGAAAATTGACTCTTTTTTAAAAAACAGCTTTATTGAGATATCATTTACATACAATATAATTCACCCATTTAGAATATACAACTCACTGTTTTTTAGTGTATTTATAGGGTTGTGCAGTCATCATTATAATCCAGTTGTAGAGCATTTTTGTCTCCCCTAAAAGAAATCCTGTGTCAATTAATTGGCACTCCCCATTTCACAGCCCTAAGCAACCATCTATCTACTTTCTGTCTTAATATTTGCCTATTCTGGACATTGAAAATCGGTTCTTTGTTGGGGGGTGAGAGGGGGGGAAAAATCTTACATATAATAATGGTTGGCGGTCCTCCAAGATTCACCCTGTCTGACAAAATTTTATTCTTTAGTATTTAATTTCTTGTTGGATTTGCTTAGATATCACATGAGTAGCATTGATGTTGAATTCATGAAAGGTACACAAAATGTATGGAAGATCAATACTACAAACTGGTGAATAGATGGCTGTGATTAGAGGACTTTTCAACCCATCATTTAGTGAAGTGCTGAAAAAAATATTGACAATATCTGAATAAATATCTAGCAGCTAATTAAGTTAAATATTATTTTTTCATGTCAAGCAAAGGTTAAAACTTAATATATTTTTAATGAAATTAATTTAAAATTTTCAGCTATTTTATTTTTGCTAAAGTAATTTTGAATAATTATATATTGGATTATATTGCTGTTACATATTATAGAAATTGTAAATTTGCATATGTAATTTGATAAATTATAATTTATATAAGTTAATAAATCGCATTAAAAATTACTCAGCAAATACAAAGTTAAGTTAAAGAAAATTTAGTTTTTCTTAACCTTGCATTGAATAAAAATAAGCTTTATATTTATTCTTATGTATAAAGCACAGATAGACATCATTAGCAGATATACAGAATAGCTGAGGTATTAAAATTTCATAGAGGGTGCAATTGGAAAAGAAATATGTAAAGGCTCTTTAGAGTAATTATGAAAAAAAGATTAAGAAATGGAAACACTGGTATAGGTGTATCTCTTGGTAGGATGTTGATTAGTCAGAACTTGTGAGATTTATATTGGATGGAAAGGACCCTCCTTGTTGCAGGTTTGCCATTTTGTACCTAGAGTATCTCCTGGTATTTCCCTTCTTCCTAGTAAGGGACAGGGTGGATGTGCAGACCAGGGTAGGTCAGACAGTACATATATGTAGAATAATCCCTCCTCTTATAGTTCTTAGAGTTGAGTTGAAGAGATAAGTGTTTTGAACTCTGCATCTAGTAGATTGCTTGTCTTTATTTTGTTCTTTTTCTGGAGTTTTGTTCTGTTCTTTCATTTGGGACATGTTTTTTTTATCTCCTCATTTCAGCAGCCTCCCTGTGTTTATTTCTATGTATTATGTAGAGTTACTATGTCTCCTGGGCTTGGTAGAGTGGCCTAATGCAACAGGTGTCCTGTAGGGTCCAGTGGCACAGCCTCCCTGATCACCAAAGCTGGGCACTTCAGGTGTGCCCCCACCCCTCTTCATGGGCTGTGTATACCCTCCTGTGGTAGTTGAGCCTTGACTGCTGTTGGCATGTCAGTGGGAGGGATTTACTCCCAGGCTGATCAGCTGCAAGGCCTGGCTGACTGCAACCACTTCCCACCATGGAGGATCAGCTGTGTAGGGGCCCATCCCAGAGTGGGTCTTGCAGAGATACCTATAAAACTTCAGTGGGTCTCTGGTGCCCACTGAGTGTGTTACTGTGGAGGTGGTTGGGTGGTGCTTGGAAGTGGTCTGAAGCTGTCAAACAGGTGCGCTGGCTCTGGGGGTCTCCCAGAAGGTGCAGGTCAAGATCAGTCACTGTCTGTGTTCTGCCCTGGGCCATGAGGCTTGAGTTACAAAACTATCTGCAGATGGCTGCTATTTGTGCTGGACATGGAGATGCCCAGGAGAGGCCACGCTTGGAACCAAGGCCAACTGCTGCTAGTACCAGGCCTGAACCCTCCTAGCGAGAGGTATGGGGCATGCTGAGGCCAGATGCTGCTTGTTTGAGAGGTTTTAGGAAAGTGAAGTGTGAGCCATTCATATGGAAAAGCCACTGAAAACAGCTTGGGTGGGCCCACAAGTTTGGTGGGGCCGGGTCTCAGGGAATCACCAGGTCAGGGCTAACAGTGTGAGCCAGGTTGATGGAGACTCAGACATGGTGCTGGCCTGCTGGCTCTGTGGGGAGGGCTCATCAAAGGAGCAGTGCCTCTGACAGCACTTCTGTCTGGGAGAAAGCTGCCCCCAGCTCTCGCCCTGATGCCAGACAGTTCAGTTTCTCCCTATATGTCCATGGTATCTTTTGAGCTACTATCCCAGTGCTGAAGCTCAGAGCGAGTGAGTCAGAGTAAGTCTATGTACAGGTCCTTTAAGAGGAACTGTCTGGGACTCCGTGTCACTCAGCCACAATGCCTGCTGGTTTTTATAGCCAGAAGTTATGAGGACTTCCCTTCCTGGCACTGGAACCCTGGGCTGGAGCGGGAGGGAGCTGGTGTGGGGCTGGGTCCCCTTGGTTTGCAGGGAGGACCTTCACAGCCAAGATATCCCTCCTGATTTTTAATCACCACACGTGGGTGTGGGACCAGCCCTTTCCATGTCTCTGCTTCTCCTACCAGTCTCAATGTAGCTTCTTTAAATCACTAGTTGTAGGACTTCTATTCAGCTAGGTTTCAGGCGGTTCTGAATGATGGTGATTCTGTAGTTTAGTTGTAATTTTGATGTGGTTGTGGGAGAAGGCGAGTACTGCATTTTCTACTCCATCATCTTGACCAGAAGTTGATACTGTAATTGATTTATTGCTAAAAATTCCAATTTACCTATAATATTCCATGGTATTTTGTATGTGCAGTACCTAAAGATTGTCTAATATCACAGCTTTCACTCTGAGGCCAGGGTATGAAAGGAAATAACATGAGTCCTGTTTTTTGGGGGGAGGAATCTGCCTTATGCCTCTCCAGGTGTTGTGCTGAGGGACAGTAATACAAGTATTGTTACGTTTGGAGGAATCAATCAATCAATCCAGTGGTCGCCAACTGGTGGTCCGAGGACCACTGGTGGTCTGTGAGGTCTGAAAGGTTGGCGACCGCTGAGTCAATCAATCTAGGTTGGTATCATGTGCCTATGGGAGACCTGGGATTGGAACTCCTGAATCCTGAGTTTTTCCGTCTCTTTGGCCTTTTCAGAAATGTGGCAGCTATTTATAGAGACAGTGGAATATACTTTTTGGGGGGATCTTTTAGAGCATGTCCATTGGCTGTTGCAACTCGAAAAAGGAGGGACTCAGTCTTGAAAATCACCTGATGCTATGGCCTTCAGGTGCACTGTGTATCAGGTCCTGAAGAGAACTTTTAATGCTTCAAGAGGTGCTTAGGCGTCTTTGTTCCTCCTGTTGCTAGTCACCTTTCTTTTTGTTTTATAGGTGTCTCTGCAAACAGACTCATGGATGGTGCCATGCAGCTTACCTTCCGCAAGATGGCATTTGACTACTACCCCTTCCACTGGGCAGGTATGGGAGTTCTGAATGGGGCCATTCCAGCATGGCCCAGGTACTGAGCGCAGATTCCTGGGTTTATCCCCGACTGCCCCGCAGGACGGTGCGAGGGCTTGCAGCCCCTGAGATACTGGAAATAGCCCTCTTCCAAATGACACCTTCTGGAAACTTTCAGGTTCCATTATAGATGATTCTTTATTGGGGTGAGAGGGAGGGGAGGGAAGGCAATGCCTGAGGTGTTGCTTTTGATTCTACCCTCTGCCCCTTACTTCACTGGTTAGAGCCTCTCCAGTAGTCCGTAGTCAGAGATGGCGGCATCCAGAAGCTGGCCTTTGGGAAGCTGAGGGGAAGGTCACATGTGGAATCCAGAATTTGAGTGCTCTGACTGGTTGATTTTTACATATCCCAGAAAATTCTGGATTAGGGCTAAGGGATCAGATTCTGAACTATGACTATACCAGTGGAAGGGGAAAATTGGACATTGGATCATGATCTTGTTCTAAAATCTTTTTGCTTTTTTGTTGCACAGGCGACAGCTGCAAACACTGGGTACGGCACTGTGAGGCCATGGAGACCCGAGGCCAGTGGGCCCAGAAATTGGTGATGGAATTTCAGAGTAAAATGGAGAAGTGGCATGAGGAGATGGGTCTGAAACCTCCCTGGCACCTGGGGGTAGACTCTCCCCTCCAGAAGAAAGCAGGTGGGTTACAAGGAGCTGGAGGACTCCTGTTGCTTAGCCTCTGGCTATTTCCCTTTGAATATCCAGTGAGACAAAGCACTGGACTAGCTAGTTATCCCAGCCTTATCCCATGGGAGTCATTATGACTTTTTTCTTTACCGAGCCCTATTTGTCTCCAGGGATGGCTGCAGTGTTGCAAGAGGGTGCCATCACCTCTATTCAATCGCTGTTGCTTGGTCTTACTTAGGGAGAAGATAATTTTTGAGTTCCATCCAGAAGCTAGACAGTGTTAGGCTGTCTTTCCTACAAATGGCATTAATGATCTTAGGGTCATCACTTTATAATCCTAATTAGGATTTTTACTTCCTAATTCTATTAATAATGAGAGTTGAATGTGTCTGAGTGTCTTTCCCACCTTTTAATTTTTATTTAGATTCTCTCTCCAGTACTCGAAAGAACTCCCTTGAGAGAAACCCCTCTCAGGGAAGAAAGGCTGCCGTTCGGCCTCCAGCATGGAATCGCTTACGCTCTAGCTGCCTGGTAATACGGGTGGATGACTTGGACATCCACCAGGTGAGGAGTCCAGGGCACGGGGAAGCGTGATTGGAAAGGGGTGGGCAGTTCCCTTGGAAGGCAACAGTGTGAACAAAGTTGTGGAGTTTGGGGTCTGTTTCCCTAACTTCTGGGTAGGTCGACACTTTCGTGTCTTTCCTTCTGAGCATGTCTGTTGAGATCTGTACTTGGGATTCCACCAGTTTCCGGTGAATATCCTACTACAAACCTTACAAACCTTCCATTGAAAACATGAACTTGTGGATAGTGTTAGGCAGGTGTGAGAATGCCTGGAACACGTGGAAGATACATGTAGAAGCACTATGCTCCCTGGGACAGGCTAGAAGGACAGTAGAGGAAATGGAGGAAATTTTATTCTGGGTGCAGCACAGATGCTAACAGCAATTTGTAATAACAGGTTTCTACAGCTAAACAGCCCAGTAAGAAGCCATCTACACTCCTTTCCTGCAGTCGGAAACTTTACAACCTACCCGCTCAGGTCTCCGCCATTCACATTGAGTTCACAGAGTATTATTTCCCAGATAATCAGGAGCTTCCAGGTAAGCATCGGAGGTGGCCATTTCTTCTCGTCCAGGCATGATCTTCCCATTTGTCAGACTTGGGACTGTACTTATATTGTCACTTGTTGTTAGGAGTTTAGGGTATTTGAGTTAGTTTAGCACACCTTTGTTAAAGACTCTGCCCTGTATAAATATGTACCTTTGCTCTCTTGATAGTAAAATGAATACTAGCTGGTAAGTAGGAGTCGAGCTGCTACTTTGTACATGGCGATTCTCTTCTCTGCTTTCCAGTTCCCTGTCCCAATCTCTACATTGAATTAAATGGTCTGACATTTACTGTGGATCCTGTCAGCTTGCTCTGGGGAAACCTCTTCTGCCTGGATTTATACCGCAGCTTGGAGCAGTTCAAAGCTATCTACAAACTGGAAGATTCCAGCCAGAAAGATGAGCACTTGGACATCCGACTGGATGCCTTCCGGTTGAAGGTAGGGAGAGAGTGGGATTCTTGTTCCCTGTTGACAGCCACAGCTGCATTTCGCCCGTTACGATCCAGGGTTCTGCTCTGTCCTCTTTTTTTTTTTTTAATATATTTTATTGATTTTTTACAGAGAGGAAGGGAGAGGGATAGAGAGTTAGAAACATCGATCAGCTGCCTCCTGCACACCCCCTACTGGGGATGTGCCCGCAACCAAGGTACATGCCCTTGACCGGAATCGAACCTGGGACCTTTCAGTCCGCAGGCCAATGCTCTATCCACTGAGCCAAACTGGTTAGGGCTGCTCTGTCCTCTTGACAGAATAAGGAAAACAGTTTCACAGCCGCAGTGGTCTTTCCTTGTGTGTTAATGGTGGGGCGTGCAGATATTCATCTGGCCATTCTGAATTGGGTTTCCTTTTCTCTCTGAAGGTAAGCTTCCCGCTGGAGAAGAGAGAGCAGGCTGGGCTGCATCGGCCCCAGGCCCTAGTCTTCTCTGCATCGTCCATGACTGCCACCAATACGCGTCATACCCCACACTACAACTGTCCGGACCTCCACAGTCTCTTCCAGGGTTTTGCTGCTGCTGAGTTCTTTCATTCCAATTATGTTCAGTTCCCCAAGGTTCCAGGTGGCTTCAGTCTCCTGCATATGCTTTTTGTGCATCATGCCTTCCAGATGGATTCCAGCCTCCCTCATGCTAGCACCCTCCCTCCCCAGAGGCCTACGGCTTCCCAGGATCTCTGGTCCATCCACTTCCCCCAGATCTCCTTGGACTTTGAGGGAACAGAGAACTTCAAAGGCCGTACCTTGAATTTTGTGGCCCCCTTCCCCTTGTCCCTTTGGGCCTGCCTACCCCTGCGCTGGCAGCAGGCCCAGGCACAGAAGCTCCTTTTGGCCGCAGAAGGGAGGCTGAAACCATCAGCCAGCTTTGGCAGTACTGTTCAGTCTGGGGCCCTAGCCCCTGACACTGTGTCCCATCTGAGGTCAAAGACTGAACATGATTTGAAAAGCCTGTCAGGCTTTACTGAAGTCATGGAGACTCTGAGAGAAGGCGGCGGTGGTGGTGTGGATATCAAAGAGCCTCTGACCGAGCTGCAGGACACGGCAGAGGTTCACATGCTTGTACACTCCCCTGATCATGTCCGAGTGAGGCTCGACCACTACCAGTACTTGGCTCTGCTCCGCCTGCAGGAGGTGCTCCAGGGTCTTCAGGAGCAGCTGATGAAGGATACAGAGGCCATGACTGGGTCTGCCATGCAGGACCCGACAGCCTGCATTGGGGTCCTCTTCCCCAGCGCTGAGGTGGCTCTGCTCATGCATCCTGCGCCTGGTGCTGCCGAAGCTGATTCTGTGGGTTTAGATACCACCAGCCTCATAGATTCGGAGCTGTCTCCTTCCGAGGATCGGGAGCTGAAGTCTGATGCCTCCTCAGACCAGGGCCCAGCAAGCCCTGAGACGTTTCTGGAGGACAGTGGCATTGGAAATCTGGATGCAGCCCAGGATAGGTCACTGCCTCTCCATAGCGATGGAGAGCTGCAGCACTCAGCTTCTCTTGCACAGCAGTGGGCAGGGAAGGGCCATGAGGCATTCGATTCGCTACAGGCCAAGAGACTAAGCAGAGCCCAAGCATCCAGCTCACCAGCTGCCCTGAAGCCCCCAGGTGTTAGGGATACCGCTGTGAATGGACAGAGTGAGCTTGCACCCCTGAAGAACATTGAGGGAGAATTGTCAAGTGCTATGCATACGACCAAGGATGCCACCAAGGAGGCTCTGCATGCCACCATGGACCTCACCAAGGAAGCTGTGTCTTTGACCAAGGATGTCTTAGGTCTGGGCAAAGACCGAATGAGCTCCACCATGCACAAGATGCTGTCCCTGCCCCCAGCCAAGTGAGTGCTTCTCTGCTTCCTTCACTTACCCTATCTCTTCCTCCTGGTTATGGTCATTAGACTTACAGTCTTTTACTGTGAGCGTTTTTAGAGTGGGATGTATCGTGCAGTCCCGAAGAATGCATAGAATGGCCTGTTTAATGTGGCAAAGCCTTGGTTTTCAGAGCTGCCTGCAGGGCAGGGCAATGGAGGAATTTTCAGGCTACTTGGAGGGGAACAGGTACACCAATTAGAGAGACTCATTTTCAGGCTACATCTAATTCTGTGATAGGTGAAGAACCAGAAATCCCAATAAAATAACACAAAATCCCATGTGATTTCACATGCCTCCACATATCATAAACTATTCTTGGGCAGCTTTCAAGTCAATTGCTTCTTAGGATTAAATTATCTCCTCTTTCTCTGACTCACTGTTATATCAGATATGCTATATTGGAATGATAATGCCTGCCATCTGTATGATATTTTAGTCTTCAGTGAGCGCTATTGTAGCATTTGGTTTGATTGGATCCCCCTGGCAACCTGGTAAGGTAGCTGCAGATACTTGTATCCTTAGTTTATGGCTGAGGAAACAGGCCTCAGGGAGGATGCGCCCAAGAAACCTGTGTGGTGGATAAAAAGCTGGGCTTTGGATTTGCTCTTTCTGATACATCTTATCAATGTCTGACAGGAGAATAGAGAAGGAAGAAGTTCATCCTCTCGTTCAGCAATAATTTTTAAGCCCTACTGTGTGCCATTCTCTGTGGTAGGCACTGGAGATAAGTAGGGAGTAAGCAGAAACACAGAAATGGAGCCAGAAGAGTGGAAAGGTACAGATTTTCCATTAGGTGCCTTGTGGTTTTAGGAAAGAGAATGAAGACTACAGGAAATCTTTGCTGGGACATTTTGTGGTTTGGGGACCTTGGTATGAAAACTGGTGGCTTAAGAGCTTCTGTCTGAATGGATTGTCTTAAGTGGATCTCTCAACATTGCAGGGGGCTGTGCTAGAACCTGCTAGGCATACATAGTCTAGGAAGAAGGAAACAGGAACGCTTTTAGAGGGGTGAATGATGTAATAATTCCAGCCGACATTTAATGAGTGCTTTTTATGGCAGGCACTGTCCTAAATACTTATATTAGTCCATTGAACTCTTGTAACAACCCTATAAGGTGGGTACTGGTATCACTCCCTCCCCATTTTACCAATGAGGAAACAGGCTCAGAGAGGTAAGGAATTTGCTCAGGATCACACAACTTGTGAGTGGTGGGCGAGGATTAAAAGCCTGGACTGCCAGTCACCAAATGTGCTGCCTTTTCTAAATGCAGAAGAGTAAGGGAGATGGGAAAGAGGAGAGATGGAAAGAGCAGAGAAAGGTGTGTGATACAAGTTTTTTTTTAAACACCTGCAGTGACGTCCTAACTGTGCAGGCCAGTGGGCTTTTCGCATCCTCATCCTGGACTCCACAGTGGCAGTGACTCCTGCCAGTCAGTTCATCCTGAGCGTGTGTGACTTCAGAGGGAGGAGTCTTTTCTTCTTCCTTAGCTGCTCTCTTCTTCCTTTTATCCTGAAAATGTAACCGTGCATTCTCATCACCTTGGTCATAATTTTTAATTATAAAAATGATTGTGCTCACTTTGTTGACAATGTAAAAAATAGAAGAAAACATGAAAGCCACTTGTAATGATGCTGTCCAGAGATAGCCACTATTTACATTTGCATCTATTTTTTTCCAGTGTTCATTTATATATTTGTGTATCCATGTGAATGCTGATATGTGTATACACACATATATATACAAATATGGTTTTTACAATGGGATTATACTTCTATAGGATATAGAAAATGTCCAATTTTATTCACTTAATGTTTTGTTGTGAATATTTTCCCATTCATTTTCCTATTCAAAATTATGTGTGCATAATTTTTAATTGCTCTATTATGTTCTAGCAAACTGTTGTATCATGATTTATTCATCCACTCCACTATCTAGGGGTAACTCATTTAGTCTGTTTCCAGTTTTTCTCAGCTAGAACCGATGCTGTGTTAAATGTCCTTATTTTTGTGAACAATACTGTTTATGCAAATTAAATCTAGAAATAGAATTATTGGGTTCAAACACTACACACATTTTTAAAGTTCTTGATGCATTTGCCAAACTTTCTGAAGATTTATATCAGCCTGTGCTTTTGAATGCTTTCTCTCTCGGTTATTTTATCCATTTCCTCACTTCTGCTATATTCCCTATTTTCAATCCTGACTTCCTTCCCCTACTCATTTAAAAGTGTATACTGCATGTAGTTCCAAAGGGATGTCCCAGGAGTGCCTGGAACCTCACATACATATAGCTAAATTCCTTATCTCTCCCCCAGACCAGTTCTTTCCCCTTTTGGTATCATCAGTCTGCTCATTCAAGTTCTACATTTTGACTCCGCTCATTCAGTCGTTGGTCAAGTTCGGACCACAATTCCTAGAGCAGGGATTCTCAGACATAAGCCTGCTTCAGAATTAGCTGGAGAACTTGTGAAAACACTGCTGAGCCCTACCCCCAGTTCCTCATTGAGGGAATCTCACATCAGTTGCTCCTGTTTGTCCCCAAATGTCAACTGTTTTAGAAAACAATTAATTGAATTCCTCATTGAAGTCTTTACTTTCTAACTTGTTAGAAAAAGCCAGGTCAAACTTCCTAAAACACAGGTATGATCTTGTTATTTCCCTCCTCTAAAACCTTCAGGCTTTTTCCTCATATCTCCTGAATTGAAATATTTCGTGTGGCATAAATCACATGGCACTTTACAGTTTTTATTTATTTATTTTAAACTAGAGGCCCGCTGCACAAGATTTGTGCACTGGGGATGGGAGGGGCATCCCTCAGCCCGGCCTGTGCCCTCTCACAGTCTGGGACCCCTCAGGATCGGACCTAAGCTGGCAGTAAGACATCCCTCTCATAGTCCGGGGCTCTCACAGTTCAGGACCCCTTGCTCCTTACTGCCTGCCTGCAGTGGAGGTGGTGGGAGAGGCTCCCGCCACCGCCGTTGCACTAGCAAGCCGTGAGCCCGGCTTCTAGCTGGGCAGTGAAGTACACTGACCACCCGGGGGCAGCTCCTGTGTTGAGCATCTGCCCCCTGGTGGTCAGTGTGCATCATAGTGACTGGTCTTTCTGCCATTTGGTCAATTTGCATATTAGCCTTTTATTAAATAGGAGGATAATCGACTGTATTTCTTTAGAGTATATCAGTACTGAGCAGAAGGTACAGAGATTTCCCACAATTCCTAGAGCAGGGATTCTCAGATGTAAGCCTACTTCAGAATCAGCTGGAGCACCTTCATATATAATCTTTCACCCAGGGTTTTCTATAATTTGGCTGCAACCATGTGGTAAAGTGAAAAAAAAGTGCTTTGCAAGAAGGTAATAGTCTTGGGTTTTTCTTTTTCTGTTTCTTTTTTTTTTAGATTTGGGTTTTTTAAAATTCATCTTTACTCATGAGTCAGTTTCTTCATCTGTAAAATGGGAGAGTAGGATTAAAAGGTATTTGAAGCCCTAGCCAGTTTGGCTCAGTGGATAGAGTGTTGGCCTGCGGACTGAAGGGTCCCAGGTTCATTTCTGGCCAAGGGCACATGCTTGGGTTGTGGGCTCGATCCCCAGTAGGGGGCGTGCAGGAGGCAGCCGATCAGTGATTCTCTCTCATCATTGATGTTTCTATCTCTCTCTCCCTCTTCCTTCCTCTCTGATATTGATAAAGAAATATATTTTATTTTTAAAAAAAAGGTATTTGAAGGCTTCTTTTCACGATGTTATGCCTTTTTAACTTTATCTTCCATTTCTTTCCCTAACAAAATTTATGCTCCAGTTGGGCTGAGCTACTTACTAGTCTCTAAAGGGACTTTTTGTTTTCTGGTTCTATGCCTTTGCTTATGCTGTTTCTTCACCATAAAATGCTCTTTCCCCCACCTCTTTCACAGTCCTTCAAAGACCAACTCAAATGCCGTCTCCTTCCACAAAGCCATTTTTGATCCCCTTTTCCTCATCTTTCCCCCTCTTTGATATTGCCTGGCCTTTGGCTTGTACCTCTGTCCCTCTCTTATGGTATGTGTAACTTACTCCCATAGAGTGTTATTTATGTTTGAGTCTCCTCCTGCCTTCTAGATGATAAGTTCTTGAGGACAGGGGATGTCTTATTCGTCACTTTATTCACCCTCCACCGCTGCCCTGTGCCTAGATTGGTCCTTGTATGCGGAAGTTATTCAGTAAATACTTGTGGAATGAATGTGGGTGGATTCAAGTGCTGTTCATTAGGTAGCTATTCATTAGCATGGGCTGTAGGTAGGTAGGTAGTTGTTCTCTTCTCTAGAAGGGATGACCTTATATATATAACCTTGACATTGAATGTTGATAAGGGAGAGCTGCTTATGCAGCTTGAAATGCTGGAATATGAAGATTCATAAAGGTCACCTGTTAAAATGGTGTGACACTCCTCCCCTCTATAGCAGGTAATAGTTGACATCAAAGTGTATGTATATAATAACTGTCTGGGCTGAAGGGATGGATATTGCAAGGGAACGAAACAGTGTTTCTGAAGCCACATCTGTGGGTTTTGTTTTTAAACAGGGAGACCATGGCCAAGATAGAGGAGAAGGTGGCAGCCCCAGTGAGTGGAGGTGGTTCCCGACTCCGATTTTTTTCCATGAAGAGGACAGTGTCTCAGCAGTCATTTGATGGTGTCTCATTGGATAGCAGTGGCCCTGAAGACCGGATTTCAGTAGACAGCGATGGTAGTGATGGGTTCGTGATGCTCATGGAGTCTGGTAAGTGGAAGCAGAGCCAGCTAATGTTCTAGAAGTCCAGAAAGGGTTCTTTCTGCTGCTTGTATTCAGACTGGTAGGATGCAGAAGGACCTGAAATTTGATAAAATAGACATTTTCTTAACCAAAACAGAAAAAAGAGAAATTTTAATGGATTTGTGGCTAGCTTTATCCCCACATCTTCTAGGTTATTGTTTAGTGCCTGGCCTTTATCACAGAACGAGACTAGTCTGACAGCCACCGAGCTGCAGTATAGCATTAGTTTTGTGACTGGTGTTATGGTGTGTGTGTGCTGTCTGGTTTTTGCCTAACTATGTATTTTATTATTGAAAAATAACTAGGAGCTTTTTGTCTATGATAAAACAAATAACTTTTAGGAATTAGATCAATTACCATAGGAAATTACACTGGAAAGCAAACTTTTAAAATTGTTCCTTGCCCTAGCTGATTTGGCTCAGTGGATAGAGCGTTGGCCTGCGGACTGAAGGGTCCTGGGTTTGATTCCAGTCAAGGGCACAAGCCTGGGTTGTGGCTCGATCCCCAGTAGGGGGCGTGCAGGAGGCAGCCGATCAATGGGTTTCTCTCATCACTGATGTTTCTCTCTCTCCCCCTCTCCCTCTCTGAAATCAGTAGAAATGTATTTTTTTAAAAAAATTGTTCCTTAAGGCCCTGGCTGGTTTGGCTCAGTGGATAGAGCGTCGGCCTGCAGACTGAAGGGTCCCAGGTTCGATTCCGGTCAAGGGCATGTACCTTGGTTGCGGGCACATCCCCAGTGGGGGCTGTGCAGGAGGCAGCTGATCGATGTTTCTCTCTCATCGATGTTTCTAGCTCTCTATCCCTCTCCCTTCCTCTCTGTAAAAAAAATCAATAAAATATATTTAAAAAAAAAATTGTTCCTTAAGTATCTAAATGAAAAAAAAAGAGAGAATGTACTGTTTCTTAAGCTGAGTGGTGTGTGCCCATGTTTGTTTTGTTATTATTATTTTTAAATATATTTTTTATTGATTTTAGAGAGGAAGAGAGAGGGAGAGAGAGAGAAACACTCAGTGATGAGAGAGAATCACTGATTGGCTGCCTCCTTCATGTCCCACACTGGGGATCAAACCCACAACCCAGGCATGTGCCCTGACTGGGAATTAAACTGTGATTTCCTGGTTTGTAGGATGCTTAACCACTGAGCAACCCCAGCTGGGCTGTTATTATTATTATTATTAATTTCTTATGGGAAATTTCAAATATATATAAAAGTAGACAGAATGAAGTCATGAACCCTCATATACCCATTACCTAGCTTCAAATATTAAGAACACATGGTCATTTTTGTTTCATACATACTTCTGCCCACTTCCCTTCTTCCCATATTATTTTGAAGCAAATCCCAAACATATCATTTGATCCACAAATATTTTCATTATGCATCTCTAGAAAATACAAACTTTTAATTATGGTAAAAGACACACAAATTGACCATCTTAACTCTTAACTATAATTCAATGGCATTAAGTACATTCAGATAGTTGTGCAACCATCTCTACTGTCCATCTCCAGAACTCTTCATCCTGAAAAAATGAAACTCTATGCCTATACTCCTGTTAACCATCATTCTGTTTGCTTTCTCTATGAATTTGACCATTCTAGGTACCTCATATAAGTGGAAGCATACAGTACTTGTTCTTTTGTGACCATCTTGTTTAACCTAACATAATGTCCTCAAGGTTCATTCACGTCGTAGCATGTGTCAGAATTTCCTTTGTATTTTGTTTATCCATTTATCCATCCATGGACACTTGACTTGCTTCCATTTATAGACTTTGAAAATATTATAGACAAAATACTATTGCACTTTTAAAAATTAACTAATTCCTTAAATTCATCAAATATGTAGTTAGTCTTCAAATTTCTAATCTCATAAATGTCATGTTTTGTCTTTGCAATTGTCATTGTTTTTAGAGATTGTATTTGAACAGAAGTTTTTGACTTTCAAATTCTTTTGTTGTCTTTCTTATGCAGAGTCTGGTTCAGAATCTCTTCCACCAGGATCTCTTCCAAGTGCCCTGGACAGTGCTGGTGTTCAAGGGAGCTCCATCGTGGAGAGTTGTGGACAGGGGTCACCAGGGGCCAATAGTTTGGCCCCACCCAGTGGGGAAGACCTCCATCCTCACCCGGTCAGCTGCTCTCCTTCCTTCTCTGCAGAGAGCAGGCTCTAGGTTGGAAGCTCAGGAATCAGCTAAGATAGTCTCCTTTTACAGGTCTCGGTTCTGGTGCTGAAGGTAAATGAGGTGTCTTTGGGGATTGAGGTACGTGGTCAGGACCTGACTGTGGCCCTGCAAGCAGAGGAACTGAGCCTGCAGCACCTGGGCACCGTGGGACTCTGGCCGTTCCTGCATGGACAGTGCCCGGGTAAGGAGGGCGGCCATTCCAGGCAAGCTGGTGGGATTTGTCTGGGGCAGCCAGAGCTTAACTGGTTCCTGTCACTGCTCCAGCGGCAGCTGCCCTAGCCAAGCCCTTAGCCTTTCTCTCCAGTAGCCATTTGGGGGAGGAAGGACTCCCAACGAAGCCGCCTTCTTGCCAGGAACTTCTTTCTGGGGCTTTGCATTCAGTAGTAGGTTAGTCTTCATTTTCATTTCCCACATGCTCCTTAAGCTTATGCATGAGGACAGTGTCCACTTATTCGTTCGTGTGGCTGCTCACATCAGATTATATCTGACCAAGGAGCTTCTGTCACTCAGATTAAATCCTTTGATGTGAATTATCATTTAGACTTTAAAAGATGACAGGAAAAATCTGGGCTTGTGTTACATGTTTCATTTAAAATTTTGGTTTTTAAAATATTCAGTAAATACTAAGGAATACTTATAAGGTATATGTAAGGTATAAAAAAAATAACAATACAGTGAATCCACATACCCACCTCCTAGTTTAATAAAACAGTGCCATTAACTTTGGAGCCCTGGACTCCTCTCCTGAACCTCTGCCTCTCCTCTGTCAGAGGGAGCCACGGCATCCTGAATTTTGTATTTGTTACTCTCTTGCTTTACAGTTTCACATGTGTTTGTATCAATGTATTATTTTGCTTTGTGGGGTTTTGAGTTATTCTAAGTGGAATTATAGTTTATATTTTCTGATTTACTTCTTTCAAGCAACATGATATTCTTCAGATTCTTCCAGGCTGTTGAGTTAGCTATAATTCATTGTCTCTACTATATAATATTCTATTGTATAAATATACTACTTTTTGCTTTTTAAAAACAGCTTTATTGGGGGTATAATTTTTGCTTTTTATAAAACAGCATACTGTGAAATTCACTCACTATAAATGTACAATTCAATAACTTTTAGTACGTTTACAGAGTTGTGCAATCATCACCATCACCCCTCAAATACCTCTTGTACTCATCACTATATTTACTTATTCAGTCTATTCTGAACAGGCATTTGGATTGTTTGCAGTATTTTTGTGTTGCCTTGAACATCCTTGTACATGTCTCTAGTATGTATGTTGGAGAGTTCTCCAGAGTTCTGTTCCTGAGGATATCATTTCTAGGTCATTAGGGAAGGTATAGCTCTAACTGTTCTAGACAATGCCAGTTTGTTTTCTAAAATGGTTGTACCATTAGCAGTATGTAAGTACACGGTTGTTCCATATCCTTGGCTATAGCTGAGATTGTTTTTTGTGGAGTTTTGAGATTAGCATGGATCCTGCTTGGCTTTATCAGAGAGGCGTGCCTTTATCTGGGAAGACCAAGACTTGACAGAAAGGAAGAGACATTCAAATTTAGCAGAGTAGAGGGTTTTATGTTTTCAGAGCTTTCCTTGGCCATTCTTAGCAAGGCCAGCTTTTTTGGCCCTTTCCCTCCTGATCCACCATGGGAGTTATAGCAAGGGAGCCGAGCCCATGGTCTTCGTGGTCAGGCTGCTAGTGCTCAGATCCTGTCCTGCTATTATAAGTGGTGTAACTTTGGGCAATTATTCTCTGGGTCCTAGTTCCTTCATCTCTAAGATGGGAAGGATGGTAATACTTTTGGCATAGGGTTGTTATGAATATTATGTATACGAAAAGTGTTTAGAACAGTCCCTGACTATTAGTTAATTAATTTTTTCCTTCTGTCATCTCAAAGGTACAAGCTTTCTAGAATCCTCAACTTCGAAGACTTGCCACATCAGGCCAGCTGTGGGCCTTCGCTTTGAGGTGGGGCCTGGTGCAGCTGTTCATTCCCCCCTGGCCACAAAGAATGGCTTCCTGCATTTATTGCTTCAAGGCTGTGACCTTGAGCTGCTCACCTCAGTGCTCAATGGCCTGGGGCCCTTCTTGGAGGATGAGGAGATTCCGGTGGTAGTTCCCATGCAGATTGAGCTCCTGAACTCCAGGATCACCCTGAAGGTGAGAGAGTCTTTGGGTTTTCACCCTAGACTTTATCAGGCCAGGAATTCTGGCAGTGACAGCTTTAGCCTCTTGCCTTGTCACTGTAAAAGGAGTGAGGAGTGAGTGAGGAAAAGCATATTCGCATTCTTTGTCAGTGTTATAGCTCTACATACATATGTGTTGTCAAAAAGTCCTGTGTTCAGGTCAGAAGACCTGTCTGTAGCCCTGACCTTGTCCTTGGCGTGCAGCATGATTGTGTGAAATCCCTAGTTATCTGATCCTCAGTTTCACCATCTCTAGAGAGACTCATTGCTGCCTCTCACACCCTTGCAAGAATGTATGGATAAACGATGACATAGCAGTGCTTCAGACTGAATGGGAGAAGCCTGGGTTGTTACCTGATTGCTCTGCGTTGGTTGGGGCATCATGCATTCCCTCTTTCCTGTAGGATGATATCCCCCCCATCTACCCAACGTCTCCAGGCCCCGTGCCCATCACTCTAGCCATGGAGCATATTGTGCTGAAGCGGAGTGATGATGGTGTGTTCCACGTAGGCGGTGAGTTGGGCTTGTCAGCCCCCTGGCTTCCCTGTCTTTCTCCTGTAAGGGAATAGGTGACAACTAGGAATTGTCTGCATCTGGGCAGCAATTTGTCATTTAGAACCTTTACTTTTTTTTCCAGCTGCTGCTCAGGACAGACCATCAGCTGAAGTACCTAACAGTGAAAAGAGACAGCCCCCAAAAGAACAGGTATTTTTGGTGTTCACAGGGGAGGCTTTTGGACAACAGGAGAGGACCTGACTGAACAGTACCTTCCCCATAAGCCCCTAGGGACTGTAGTCGCAGAAGCTGGTAAAACCCAGAAGGCTGGAAAGGTTTCTCGTGCTGTATGTGGATGGGTGGTTTGGGCTCTGTCACCTAGTAGCAGCCTCTAGATGCGCTGAATAGAGGATGTAAATCAGGAGCTGGTGGTGGAAGGATGGTTGCTGATCACAGATCTTCCAGCTGCTGTCCCTCTAACTGATGAACTCTGAAGAGAGGATTAGGCTTCTAGAAAAAATCGAGTTGGGTTCTCTTGACCATTGGCCAAACTTGTGGATCTTTCTTCCACCTTGTTCCCGTACTGAGTGTTGTTGTTTTTTCAAGTTGTGTTACTTTATTCATTAACTGAATGACTTATTGTTCCTCAGGTGAAAGAACTGTCTACCCTACAAAAGGAACTTATAGAAACTAAACAAGCATTGGCCAATGCCAACCAGGATAAAGACAAACTTTTCCAGGAACTTAGGAAATATAACCCCTTCTTTGAGCTCTGACAGCTGTGGCTCAGCCATCTGTGCCAAGGAGAGGCAGTCACCAGCAACATCAGCACCCGTGACAGACGGCAGCCTCCAGTGTTGAATAAGTTGAGCTAAGGATGCCAGAGGGACCGGGCGTGCTTAACTCCTTTCTGCTATGGGTTGTCACTGGGATAGCAGATAGGGCCAAGCATGACCATGTTCCAGGAAATTGGGGGCAGCTTTGTGCGTGGCTCACGCATCACGTCTTGCTGTTGGGCCCTCTGCACACTAGGTGGCATCTTCTCCACACTGTAGGGCCATTTCACTGCATGGTTTCATGACAGACATTTGCTTCCTCCACAACCTGTGTGAACAAGGGGAAGTGCTCACCTCCTCAGTCACCCACAGAGCCACCAAAGATTCTCTTCCTAGAGCTTCCTGTAGCAGACCTGAACAGTCCTGCCTGAGCTCCGGCCACAGGGTAGAGTGGAATAGGAAGCAGCCAGCAAGGCGGGAGTCAGGAGGGGCACGAGATAAGGGAGACCGGGACCCTGCTTTTTTTGGAAAGGGAACCAAGCTCATATCTTCTTGGCTGATATTACAATCAGATTTTTCAGGGTTCAGCTTCCTTTGTTAGGCTTTGTCATTGTGAGGCTGTGGTAGAAAGTAAACAACAGCAGCTTTCCCTTCTGTAACACAATTTATTTGAAGTTTAAGTCAAAATAATAATCACTCTGGGTTAGGTGGTTGAAGGCATGATGTGGTAGGGATGAGCGGGGAGCTTGGTTCTGAGCCCCAGGTGCCTGCCTAGAATGCTGCCTCTTCTGCGGCTGCACCTCGGAGGTGCTTTCCTGTCTCCCCAGGGCCCCTGGCACAGCTGTTTCCCCAGCACTATGACTTTCTACCAGCACTCTCCTTAGCTCTTGGTTTGGGAGCTGAAAGTGTGTTTTAAACTATAACATAAACACCTTAGTCTGTTGCACCCCACTCCCCTCTATCACTGTGGCTTTTAAAATTATGTAATTTTGACTTAAAAAAAATACCCTTCATCCTAGCTAGGTTTTGACCCCTGCCCCCCAAAAAGCGCAATTTCCTCCTTTCTTTCCTATCTAATTCTTCCTTAACACTACCTTCATCTATACTGTTTTGTGTACTTCAGACTGTGTTGATTGGACAGAAACTCATCAGCTAACTCACCTTGAATCTGCAGGATGGTAAATTAGTGATTTAGTAGTGTCAGTAAAGTCTTAATCACATTGACCTATTGAAGGAAAGGTAAAATGTTTCCCTGTGGGAAATCATGCCCAACTTGTATGTTATAGATTTTTTAGGATAAAAAGAAACATGTGTTCAAGAAGGAACAGTATCTAATTTGTTCAGACTTTTAAAGAACTTTTGTCAAGTTCTTCATTAAGGCAGTTTAAAAGCACCAGTTACTGTGAGATTATGGGAATATTTTGTCATGCTTAGGAAACAACTTAGAGACTTAAGAATAAACATGTTTCTGGAAAGACTGTTAACAGGGGAAGTTTCCTACTGATTGATGCTTGGTTGAACCTTATTTAATATTTTCATAAATAACCTGAAAGTAGGATATTACAATGCAATCATATGTCACTACTTCTAGGCATTGAAAGGTAAACCAGAAGAGACTTTAAAAACACACACACACACACACCCAAAACTGCAGAAGGGCCACAAGCCAGGCTGTGAATACTCAGGAAAGTGACAGGTGAGGTTCAGTGCAGGTGAGTGTGAAGGAATGCACTTACGGAAAACAGCACAGCAGCCGACGAGGCAGTGCGCTCTGTTAAAACTCAGGACAGAAACGGAGGCATTGCTGAGGGGAAGGGTCGATGTGCTACTGAGGCCAAAAGGCCAATTACATCATCAGCAAGGACACATGGAGGCAACCCAGAAAAGGACCTCACACGGCCATGCACATGTGCACCTCAGGTCTTACTTAAAATATACAGCTGCAGAGAGCAGCGAAAATGATGGGGGGTGGAGGCACTTAGATGAGGACCCATCTTGAACGATGATAGCGGAGGGTGGTGTTTGATCACATATCCAGCAAGAGGAAGGACATGTTCACCAGGTCCTGAAATACTAGCTCTCGGGCTGTACCGCAGAGCCTTAGGCAAAAGGAAGCACTCCTCATAGCAAATCAGAAACTTGTGGGGCTCGTTGTCAAGGTGCGGGGCAGGACCTGTGTGGGGCCGCAGGAGGGGTAGGGAGTCCTTGCATGGTGTAGGCCCCCGAAAGGAATTGCAGGCCACTGGGGCTATTTGGTGAAATACGACTCCACAGACTCCCTTAATGCTTCTTCAAAGGCAGAATGGAGAACAAATGGATCAGCAGTCCTCTCAAGTATGGCATTTCTAAAGTCTTGGAAGGGGAGGAGGGAGATCCAGTCCCTGGAAAATGGAATTATTCAACCTTAGGCTCACCAGAATTGGTTTAAAATCACACTGATTTTCTTCCCTTTCTCTTTTCCTGGCCCACCATATCCCTCTGGCATCCCTCCATGCGAAGAACATGCCTAATCGGCATTGCCTGGTATACCTTTACCTTAAGAACTTGTGCTTGATGGCAGGCAGTAGAAACAACCTGGGCAATACCAAGGTTAACCCCGTTAATAGCCAGCTCAGTTTCTGGCCTTTCTGGGGCTCTGGTCCATGTGACAAATGGAGCCCTATATCTGACTTCCATTATACAGCAGCTTTGGCCATTGTATCTTGAAATCGTCCCTCAGGAAATACGGTCGGGGTCATTGTCCCATGGAATTTTAGTAAACATCTTGTGTAACTTCCTGCTTCTCTTCAGTGGAAGGAAGATTTTTTTTTCATAATGAAGAAATGTGAACTGGTTATCATCAGGATAAATGTGAAGGAAAAAAGTGGAAGGAAAAAATAGTACCAGCTCCTTTGGACTGCTTACGATTTCTGCCTTGGAGCTCGAAGACTCTGAACAAGAAATAATACCTCACGAAATCGTCTGGAGTGATGACAGCACCACTTCCCAGACGCCAGCCACTGCACATCTGCATTTCGGCTGTGAAACATTTACAACTATCTCATCTGTGACTGTCTACATTTCCTGTTTACATGGATGTACTGGAGATATGCTTTAGTGCACTTGCACTGGTGTAAATCTCTCAGCTGAGCTGCAGGGATGGTTTTCAATCTCAAATTGTTTTCAACTACTGGAATAATGAACCTAGTTTCTTAAGACAAAAGGTGTGGGTTCCATTCTTGTGTTGGCTGCTTTTTGCTGTGTATTTAATCTGACCTTGATTTTGCCATGGGCCTCAACTTTATGTATTTTTTCATGGTTCTAAAAGAAATGGTTCCTGCGTATGGAATATCCAAGGCGTAAACACCACCCCTCACACATCCCATAACTTGACCCACTTACATGAGCTTCCCCTTAGTTCAGGAGGGTGGTGGGAAGGTTGTTTGAGGTATTGCTGTGGTGATACGGGAACTTTCCATTTTAACCTTTACACTAAGGGCTTGTGTTTTTTTCCTCCTTTAATACTTGACTAAACATCTAAAATCAGCCAAAACACCATAAAACCATGGAAATAACTGAACATTGCTGCATAAGCTAACAGGTAGCATCCTGTTATTGAGAACTGTGAAAGCTGTGATTTACCATGGTCATTAAGTTTCAAGAGATTCTGGTGGATGTACTATCCTCTCACCAATGGCTTCCCCCACCTTCTGCTAGGATAAGAATATTCCTGGTCACCTCTGGGGAGGTGTGGGTAGTAGCTATTGTTGGATGGGGATTATTTTCCCCATCTCTTAAACAGACACAAGGTGAAGCACTCTTAGTCTTCAACTGGGAGGTTTTGCTAAGTGGCCAGACTTGGCATGTGAACTTTCTCCCTTGTTAAGTTCCAGCCTTGTCCAGTATCTTACATTGAAATATAGTTCCTATAACTTAAAAATATTCCTGTTAGAACTGAGAATGTTTGTTTGTTTCCCCAGTTCCCCTTGGTTCTTTAGTTTTTGGTCAAGAGGTAGCCTTTTACCACCACTTCTTAGCCCCACTGAAGTTGTCTTCTCCATTGGCTAAGGACAAGTTGAACACCATGACTCTAGTAAGATACTAAGTCAGATTTGCCCAACTTTGTGAGTCTTTCCCCACTCAGGGTGCTCCACCGAATGGAAAGCTTCAGAGCAGCTTCAAGCCCTCCTCCCTGTGACACTGAGAGGAAAGAATTCCTGGGGACTGCCAACTAATACTGTAGCCTTATTATTGCTAATCACTGTCACGGAAAGGTCACACCATTCCCCTTCATTTGAGGAAAACAATGAGAATTTATCTGATGAACTGGAATAGTGGTCAGTATTGGGAAACTTTAATGTTGCAATATCTAATCAAACTTGGAGTGTACTGGTTCTGTGAACCACCTGAAAAAGCAAATTAAACTTATTAAACAGAACTAGTTGTGTTATATCTATTTATAAGAAATCTGAAATATATAGGCTTTTACATTGTTCTTAAGTGCTTTAAGTACTCTTTTTGATACTAAATTTTAATAGCTCTAGTAGAAAGTGAGGGTTCAAATTTTCACAAAAAAAACCCCAAGACCAGTTTTACTGACACCAAAAAAAAAGAATGATGAATTCCCCCTATTCCAACCAGTTAGACAGAAAATGAACACACATACAACAAGTTGGAAAACAGTTTAATGATCACTCACCAAAATCCATCGGAGATTCTTTAATGTTTACAGGGAGAAACTATTCCACTACTCCTGCATCACAACGTTATTCATTTGGAGTAGCACTAAGTCAGAAGTTCCTGGCTGTTTCATCTACTTAAAATCAGAGGTAAGAAAACCTAAGACAGCAACTCCAGGCTCCAGTGCGTAACCATCAAAGTTCTCTTGGAAAGGTTTTCTCTCTGAAAGCAGCTCCTGTCCAGGGAAGCCATGCCCATGTGCCTTTCTGCTTCCAACTAGCCAGACAATTAAATGCCGCAAAATGCCCAAAGGTCCCAATATTTAGTCAAGGCATGTATGACACAGGCCGCATGCTTTCCAGGTGTGATGAACAGTGTTGAGAAAGACATTGAGACATGGGCAGATCCCGGAGCACCAGTGCACAGCCTGCAATCCCAAGTCTGGACCCAACACCAGTGCCAGGCCTTTCTCGGCTTCGGTCTTAGAAGAAGATGATTTTTTTGTGCTTCGAGTTGGGTATTTGTCCCTTCGACTTTAACCTCCGAACAGCCTCCCTCATATGTTTGGGTTGTAGTGGTGGCATTTCTCCCCACTTCTCACACACATCCAGTGCTAAAGAGGGGGTAAGGAGACAGTTTTGTGATCACACCAGAGCTTATTCACAATCCTTTTGAGTACTGTAATTCTCATCAACTCTTCTAAGCTTGCTGAGGAAATAAACCAAGGCATTTTCTCTAGAATGTACCATGTTTGCCCTGGCCAGCGTGATTCAGTGGTTAGGGCACTGGGCCTGGCACTGAAGGGTCTGGGTTCGATTCCTGGTCAAGGGCACATACTGGGGTTGCTAGTGATTAGCAGTGGGCAGCAGCCAAGTTCTTTACTCGATAAGTACGGGAGCAGTTCCAGGGGTCATAACATCAGGGATAACTCCTCACACTGGTCAGCCCCAGTGACAGCTTTTCTTGTATCTTTTGGCAGCAGAAATGAACAAAGTTCATTGGAGAAAAATACAAGGTCCGCTTCTGTCACCCTGGGCTTCGGACAGGAATCAGGAAGGGACATTTCCTAGATGGTTCCTAACTCCCAGTAGGGAAACTCTGAAGGACTAATGGTCATGTTCTGCCGAATACAAAGGCTCCCCCCTTGGTCAACCTCTAGTGTAAGTGGAAACTACTACAGGGGCCTTATTAAGTCCCTCAGTCCCAATGTTCTTGAAAATAAGACCATCACAGGTTCAATCCATTACTTATACCAACACCACTCACCTTCTTCTACCACTTCCCCGACGAAAACCTTGGAAATACCCGACATAGCAATAACCACATTCTGAGACACGGAGGTGCCAGTGATGGACTGGATAAGCTGGAGAGAAGGACAAAGACTGGTTAAAGTAGTCCAGCCCGGCTTCAGAAACAAGTGCCCATAGAGCTCTGCACTGAGTGTTTACTAAAGGCCGGGTGCTGAAATTGAGACTATTAAAGCAACGATTCTGTTTGTCAAGATCCTATCCCTGGAATACAAAACCGAAACTGGTCAAATTATTGAGGGACATGTTATTTTTATTTTCCCGCCTAAATGACCCCCAACTTGCCTAACATGTCACTTCCAAATGCCAAGGGACATAACTCTGGAGTCCAGTTTGGTTCTTCCAGCTGATGAAAATGAAGTGTGATAGTCCATCCTTACCCTTTTAATGGCCGCCTTAGGGAAAGCTGAACGGCGGTACATTTCATAACGGTTCAGCTGCTCCTCAGAAAAAGAAGAAACCAGGATCCTAGACAAAGATTCAGGTAATTAAGTTAACTTATAAGAAGAATGCTTAAAATATTTATTACACCAATAAAATCAAGTGTCAAATAGAAAATGAATTGTCAAGGGGTTGATAGTATTAGGTTAATGCTCATGAAGAATGAAGATAAAGTATTTCTACTCTTAAGGCACTTGAGAATAAGTGAAACAACTTCCTTTTTTTACTTTATTAAGAACAAAAACTTAAAAAACAATGTTAGGTCACTGTATCATACCATATAAATTGTGTTTTCAGCCTTAGGCTCTCTCCTATAATGCTACCTTACTACACTTCACGTTATTGTAAAAATTTAATATATAAATGTATGTTCAAACCAGTAGTTTTCAACATTAACAGATTAAGGAGGAAAATTTTGTAAAATATATGGAAAAGGGTTAATACTGTATAGCAGTGGTTCTCAACCTGTGGGTCGCGAACAATGAAAATACATCCTGCATATCAGATATTTACATTATGATTCATAACAGTAGCAAAATTACAGTTATAAAGTAGCAACAAAAATAATTTTATGGTTGGGGGTCACAACATGAGGAACTGTATTAAAGGGTCGCGGCATTAGGAAGGTTGAGAGCCACTGCTCTATAGGAATGAATTCTTTCACATAAATAAAACAATGGCCATACCAATTTTATTTATTAAATATATATTTTTTATTGATTTCAGAGAGAAAGGGAGAGAGAGACAGAAACATCAATGATGAGAGAGAATCAGTGATCAGCTGCCTCCTGCACGCCCCCCTACTGGGGACCAAGCCCGAAACATGGGCATGTGCCCTGACGTGGTTCATAGGTTAATGCTCAACCACTGAGGAGCCATACCAATTTTAGAAAATGAGCAAAGGACATGAACCGAAACTTTACAAAAGCACCAATGGCCAATAAGTATAGAGGAAAAAAAAATTAACTTTCACTAGTAAAGAAATTAAAATAATAAACAAGATAACATTTTCCATAAACCAGATTGACAAGTATTAAGAATGGTACTAAGGAAAATGGGAAGACAGAAAGTCATACATGCTGATAGAATGTGAAAAGGAACAACCGTTTTGGAGAAGAATTTAGAAATATGTATGAAAATCCTTTGAAAATATTCATACTATTTGAACTAGCAACTACACTTCCTGTTTATTACAGGAATCAAATGGAGAAGTATGTAAAGATGTGCATCATAATGTTGTAAAAAAAAATCCAAAACACAAGAACAGTTGCAGGGATTGGTCAAATTATGGTCCATCCACACAATGAATACAATGTAGCCATTAAAAATGATGATTTACAGGCATATTTACTGACACGAAAATATTTAGCAATACATATCAAACATTAAAAAACAAACATGAAGAGGTATATACCCTGGGTAAACTCTAAGTGGTGGGATTATGGGTAACTATTTTTTTTCTACTTTTCTGTATTCTCTGGATTCTTTGCAATGAAACCATACTACTTTTACAATCAGAAAGCAAATGAAGCTATTTCCATTTTGAAGAAAATTATGACCTAGATCAGTGATGGCGAACCTTTTGAGCTCGGCGTGTCAGCATTTTGAAAAACCCTAACTTAACTCTGGTGCCATGTCACATATAGAAATTTTCTGATATTTGCAACCATAGTAAAACAAAGATTTATATTTTTGATATTTATTTTATATATTTAAATGCCATTTAACAAAGAAAAATCAATCAAAAAAATGAGTTCGCATGTCACCTCTGACACGCGTGTCATAGGTTCGCCATCACTGACCTAGATATATAGTTATTGACATGCAATGCATCTACCATACTTAATGTAAAAAATGGTTACAAATGGTATTTATTGATTTTTTACAGAGAGGGATAGAGAGTTAGAAACATCGATGAGAGAGAAACATCGATCAGCTGCCTCCTGCACACTCCCCACTAGGGATGTGCCCGCAACCAAGGTACATGCCCTTGACTGGAATCGAACCCGGGACCCTTGAGTCCGCAGGCCGACGCTCTATCTACTGAGCCAAACCGGTTAGGACTACAAATGGTATTTAACATCTTTGAAAAATTTGTTGTAGATATACATATATGTATAGAAAATATCTTGGAGAATATATAGCAAAATATTAATAGTATTTATTTTGGTGGTAAATTGGTATTTTTTTTACTTATTTATATTTCCTATGATATACCAATGTATTAATTACTTTATTTTGAGTTTATAAAAGAAAAAAGTTGAAGGTCAAGAAAAATTTCTTAATTTTGTGTGGTCAAGTTAGAGCCTTGCAATGGGGAAAGATCAGAAAGTAACTTACTGCATCTTTTGAATCTCATCTTCATCCACTTTCTGCTTCTTCTCTTTCTTTTCTTTGGTGTCTATTTTCAGTTTTTTGGCTGCAGGAGTGAGTAATGATGAGTCTTCCCTTTCAACTGCTGTTAAATCTGAGATGTCCTGACTCTTGAGCTGAGGAGGTGAAAGAAACACTTTTATATATTTGGCCTACTTTCCAGACTCGGGTAAGGTAAGAAGACATCATTCTCATTACAACACAACAAATCCACTTATTCAATGGTAGGATACACTATCTCCCCGAAAGAAATTTATAGCCCAGCTGTGGAAAGAACACGAGCGAAAAATCCAGTTTTCCAGTTTAGTATGCTCATGGCTCCCACATTTGTTTACAAGGGCAATACAATGCCAAGGATCATGAAAACCTTTCCCCCTGAGCCCACTCTCCCAACCTCATTCTTAGAGGGGATGTCAGAAAAGTCCTTTCCATCCAGCCAGCTCTTCTGCCTCTAAGCCTATAGATCTCTTTACTTGTGATGATTCCATGTGGAAAGAATATTAAAAAGGAGGCATCTTCTCATCAAAACAGTGTTTCTTTGAGTTTGGAACATTTAAATGAGCTTCTCCCACATGTAGTACTCTTTTCTTCCTATCTTTTAATTCTACAGCATCATGCAAGTATTTACTAGGCTGAAAACTTTGTGAAGACAGGTTTGTCTCATCATTTATCTCACCCCACGAAAGCGTTTAGCATAGTTTTATTTATCCTAGATTTTAAAATTATATAGATTTCAGAGAGGAAGGGAGAGAGAGAGATAGAAACATCATGATGAGAGAGAACCATGGATTGGCTGCCTCCTGCACGCCCCACAGTGAGGATCTAGCCTGCAACCTGGCACGTGCCCTGACCTGGAATCGAACTGTGACCTGTGACCTCCTCGTTCAGAGGTCGATGCTCAACCACTGAGCCAGGCCAGCTGGGCCAGATTCCTTCTTAAAAGTTTCACAACATTGTTCTAGAGGTCGATGCTCAACCACTGAGCCAGGCCAGCTGGGTCAGATTCCTTCTTAAAAGTTTCACAACATTGTTCTTTTTCTAAAAGTCCTTACTTTCTATATTTTAATAAAACCTGATGCTCTGAAAGGCTGTTTCTGTCTAATCCAGTGGTTCTCAACCTTCCTAATGCCGCGACCCTTTAATACAGTTCCTCATGTTGTGATGACCCCCAACCATAAAATTATTTTTGTTGCTACTTCATAACTGTAATTTTGCTACTGTTATGAATCGTAATGTAAATATCTGATATGCAGCATGTATCTTTCATTGTTACAAATTGAACATAATTAAAGCATAGTGATTAATCACAAAAACAATATGTAATTATATATGTGTTTTCCGATGGTCTTAGGCGACCCCCAAAGGGGTCGCGACCCACAGGGTGAGAACCGCTGGCTAATCTAATGTCCTTCCACGATCTCTTTAAACGCCATACTTACAGCTCTAAGAGCCTACGGTTCTCTCTCTAGAAGGGGAACCCAGAGAACCCCGAGCTTCTGGTCCCCTGGCTGACGCTCGGCTAGCGAGCACTGCGGCGCTTCGGCCTCGCACAACTGATGGGTCTGGTGTGTTTATGCGACAGAGAGACCCTGGACATAAGGTGAGTAAAGCGGTCACGCCCCCCAGCCTCCCTTTAACGGCCCTGCTGCCTAGAATAACAACGTTATGCTCAGCAACAGCTGAGAGAACCACAGGGCAGTGGAAGGGATTCTAGGCGTCCTGGGTTCTCGCTCTTGCCTGTCTCAGGGAGACATCGGATCCCAACTTCCTCACCAGGAAAACCAAGACGCTATTAAAATCCCCTCAGAAGGAGTGTTAATAGTCAAGGGCCGGGATTAAAAATATGAACCCCGTGCTTGGGTCTCCCGGACCGGACCAGCCCTACAGTGCGGCCTCCGCCCACCCCGACCCGCCTCCGCGACTGCAGATCGGAGGGACCCTGTGCGTCCCAATGGTCCCGGCCTGGGCGGGGGGTGGGGAGCCACAGGCAGGCGGTGGCGCAGCCAGAGCACCATCTCGGGGTCCTCTCGGCCCCGCCAACGTCTCCCTACCTCGCCTTCCTCTGTCGCGGCTTCTTTCAAATCCCCGTCTCCGTCCGCGTCCGCTTCCTCCGGGTGTCCGTCCGCGTCGGTGGTCCCAGGGCCCGCGGGGGCCGCGGCCGCCTCGTCGGACCCCTCTGTCTCCCCGCCTTTTTCCGCGGGCGACTCGCAGGCGCCATCCATCGCAGCCGAATGCGGGACTGCGGGTCGCGGAGCGGCCACACACCGGAGCTGGCAGCTCACTTCCGGTCGTCGCGCCGCGATGACGTCACCCGCCGGTTCCTCCGCGGTCATTCGGAGGCGACGTGCGGGCTCCGCTTTAAGCGTGGCGGTGGGAGCGAGCACGGGTTTCAGCTGGTGGGCTTTCCATCCCGGGAAAGCCGCCGGTGAAAGGGGAGCTGCACGGCTTACCGGAGGCCTCCCTCTCCCTGCCGCCTCTCACGCCCCCACGGGGTTTGTCCAGCCCATTTGTCCACTCCACGCCATTGAGCGCCCGCTTCGAGCCGGGAGCAGTGCTGGTGCCAGAAACAAACATAGTTTATGCCCAAGTACATGACTTCTCCAATCGCGGGCACCCACGGTTGGGGGCGGTTTCCCACACCTGACTTTCCCGGCAGGTTGGTTAATTCCATCAAGAGTAAGAGGAAAACACCTGCGGGAGGGAGGTTCTTTTATTTTGAATTTCACTTGAGGCGCCATTCCAGGGAGTGGGAGCATGAAGTGGGGATACTTCCATTTTCGAACTTTCCTCCGTCGTTGAGGTACTGAGGGGGCGTTTTGCTCGCCCCTGTGCACTGGGCCCACCCCCGTTGCTTAATGTCCGCGCACGGACGCGTGGACCGGGAATGCGGGTGCGCGTTACCACAGCTCCCTCTTTGTTTCTACGGCCCGCATGACCGTATTCACGGCCTGGGCTCCCAAACCTTCGGGAAGGGCGCGCTTCGGAGGCGGACACAGGTGGGCCCGCGGCCCCTCCACCTGTACCGCG